CAGCACCAGCACCAGCACCAGCACCAGCACCAGCACCAGCACCAGCACCAGCAGCACCAGAAGAGCGGTCGCCAGAAGGGCGGTCGCCAGGGTCGGGTGTCGACTCCATCAGGCAGACGTGCACACGGACTGATGTGCACGGAGTGCGTTGCGCGGAGTGTATGTGTGTGTGGCACGGACTGCTGCTGTGTGCGTGGGCACGGTTATTTGTGTGGCTGCTGTAAAAGTAGAACAGAAAAACAGAAAAATACCGCGACTCCGTGGGAGAAAAACCGTCACTCCGTGGGAAAAACCGTGACTGCATTGCGGTTTTATCCGTGCTTGTGTGACGGAGTAGCTCAAACCGCTCCGTGAAAAAACCGCTTGTGCGGTTTTTTGGGAAGCCCCACGGAGCGGAGCGGAGCGGTTTATCCGAGGGCAAAATTGTCACGGAGCGGAGCGGTTTTTTTGTTCATGTCACGGAGCGGAGCGGAGCGGTTTTTTCTGGAGGGAAAATCCCACGGAGCGGAGCGGAGCGGTGTAAACCGCTCCGCTCCGTGGAAAAAAACCGCTCCGTGCAGAACCCTGTTTTTTTTGTATAGTTCATGCAACAACCAATCAATACAACCACCACGATCTTGCTCACATATTTCCACATCTTTCGAGGCACAATTTCTGAAAACTTCGCTGACCGAGCCCCGTGTGATACCGTGGGCTTCATGAGGACCCTGCATACGACACGAAAAACCTTGTGTGTGCGCCAGAGGGGGCCCAAACTCGCGGTAAAAACACGAGAGAGAGAGTGGCAGGCGGAAGGTATTGCGACATACTACGAGCGTACTTTGCAAGCGTGCAAACAAGAGAGATCTCCTAGAAATCTCCATTTCGGTGGCTTATCGATGAGTGAGGAGGTTGGATAGCGTAGAGTAGTCTGGCGGTGCTGAACCAGGCGCGTGAATTTCTCGGAGTTATTTTTTTTTTTGGCTCCCAGTATTGGACTCTGTCGTCTGCCCCTCTGGCCCCTATCCTCCACTTCTACCAGCTATTCGACCCAACCGGGGTCACATAGGAGGGAGGGGTTGGACCCCATCCTGCGGTTCCTGCCTGAGATATTTTTATCGCGAGAAGGGTACAGCAATTCCTTCCCCCGCGACTTGTGAAGTCGATCAAGTTTACTAACAACGAGCTTTGCAGCGCGTCGCTTCCAACGGAGACCAGGATTAATTAGCGGGAAAAAACTCACTCTGTCGGTACGTCTGAACGTGATGATGAGCAAAAAAGTATGAAGGGAGCAAAACGGCTACGAGCGTGGCGCCACGGTGTTGAATGTCTACGGCCTAGTTCGTCAATGACAAATACTACTGTAAAAAATGAAGTATGTAGATATAGTGGAAGCAGAGAGGGCCAATCGATCCGGACTTGGCAAGCAGTGTTGACTCAAATTCAGATCTTGATTTTGAACTTGTTCTCTGCTTCCAACATCCCCGTCCACACTCCACAAACAAACCATTGATTTCCCCACGCCTCTGCGTGGTGGAGGACGAAATAGAAGCTCGGCAATTTTACGTGTAGCAACAACAGCACGTTCAACATGGGCGAGGAAACCCACACCCTTGCCGCTCTTCTTTAGACGCTTGAGATTCTACCCCAAGAGGGAGTGGGCCAACCCATATTTCGGGCGTGTTCACCCGTCGTCTAAACACCCCGTTTCACCATATCCCTGCCTAAAGAAATACGTAGACTACAGACTAAAAGTCCACCCAGTAGGAGCAGATCCGTTACCGTGTCTTTATGAGGTGCCCACAAGGTGTTACTGAATCTCTTGCCCGTTCCTCTTAGACCAGATCCAGTCAGCGTTTGCGTGGGAATTGTATTCGGGCTGAATTCTTCGAGTGTAGACGGAAGGGTGTCTTGGGGGTGGGTGGGGGGAAGCTTTTATTGCTCCAGAGAATTTCGCATGGCGCGTGTGCCGATAATCCACGTCTATATATAGAACATTCGCATCTTCCCACCTTGAAGAAAGGTCGGACAGGAGGGCGGGGATTACTGCTAAGCACGCCTAAAAATGCTTGTCTGGACCCAGCTGCGTGTGTCCAGGGAGTACGGCAGAGATGGAGCCTGCTTTTTCTTACGTGGCCCAGTCGGTTGTCTGTGGCAGCAAGGAGCACCGGACGTGGTACCGTTGGCAAACGAAGCAGAATTTGTCGCCAAGCTGCCCTACATGAACGATCGAGGATGCAGTTTCGTTGCACCAGCACTGGCATGCCCCCACCCTGAAGTGATTCCACTAACGACCGCGACTGGCTACTACTAGACAGTGGCTCTTGAGTAAGCGGTTCCGATCAGACCTACAGCAGTAGACCGCCTACAGACAACAGGCATCGGGCTGCGCAGAGGCTTGGCGGGTATCTTGTTGCGGGTAGTTTTTTGTACCCCTCTTGCGCGGCGACGGGACGGCAAGTAACATCTCCGTCGCGGACCAAAGGTATTGTATTCTACCAAGGCTTCCACCTTTGATCATGATTCCATAGATATAGCCATCAGTTTGTTTGCTGTCGACTATCGCGACATGCATCTCTCTGATCGATTGGCTGCACGGAGAAATAATCCACACTCAACAGGCGAACACTAGTCTACACTGCAGTACATTGTTCCCAACAATCAGTGTTCTGGAAACGTACAAATATTGCATCTTTAGGCAAGAAAGGGGAGGAGCGGCACGGGATGGATCATGATCAACGTTGATCTTGTTCATGCGAGGCCATGGCCTAACCGCAGGTCCACAGCAGTGCTTTGGGCGGGTGGCTTAGACTGTGTAAACAAGGCACAAGGCTTGACCCATGGATGGTGGTGTTGGGAATACCTTCATAAACGGTTACCCTTGCGGTATTTAGTACCTCGACCCTGACTATCCCTCATCTTGCCCTTCTCCAACATCCAAAATCGCAAAGATGACATCGTGCAAAAACCGACCGCACACCCGTAGGGGGTTGTTGTATTCTAATCGTGACAAAGTCACAAAATTCCATCAAAACAACGGTCGTGGAGAGACAATCCTAGTCGACATCTTAGCACCAAAATACTTGGTATGGTATTGGATGATCGTTGGCAAATACTCTCTCCCCACTCCCTCATGCTTCTGCGGAAGCAAATCTCTCCCTTTTCTGTCTACCAGCGTCTCTACCGCCGTCTGCATGGCGTCCATGCCATTTACAGCATAGCAGACGTTGAAATACCTCCTAGCAGTAGGTCTTTGCAGGAGGCATTCCCGCGCGCGGCGGGGACGGGGATGGGCTTCAGACGACGTCGGGGCTAAGCCCCGGGACAAGTCAATGCGTCAGATGTGCTTGTACCAATAACACGTTGTTTGCTATCTCGGGGAATGCATCCCTAGCCGCGTATCGAACTCAAGCCGTAGCAGCGTGACGTAGCGGTCAAACACTCGGGCGTCGCTGCGCTTCAGGAGTTCTGCAATGCCCAGTACAGCAAAGGGGCACAAGAAGCCGGCGACGAGGGGCTCCCATCGGCTCTTGAACAATAGCTGTAGCGATCCACGGGCAGCCCCCGCCGCCCAAAGATGGAAGACCTGGACGGTACGTGTGATGTTTCCGGGCGGGAAAAGAATTGCTCTGGATCGTGTTGCGCATCACTAGAAGTAGCCAGTGGCTCGGGCCCTGGCCCGATGTAGGCCAGGAAGAAACATTGAATGACGACAAGGATTCAAATCCAAAGAAAACGGCCAGTGTAGCGATAAAGCCTTCTGCCGCTGCTGGTAATGTTGCTGTCGGCAGTGATTCTTAGGTCGCCTTGACGAGAACGTATTCTGTCTATAACTAAGTTCGAGGATCAACAACAGCAGCAGCAGCGGGTCATCCTGGAAGCGACGAGGCCTTACAAAAAAGCACCTACAGTCGGTATACGCCCACAGTCACTTACCCACACGTGTTTAATCGGCGTGAGCTTACGAAACGAAACAATTTGCAAAGCAGCCGCAGCGGGGCTGACACAAATGCCCCAACCGCGTTGTGTTGCGGTTGCTGGTGGTTGGTGCGTGTAAATATCACAAGGTATTTTCATTTCACAATCTAGCACGGCCGGCAAACTCTGTGCCTCGAAGTACGATGACCACGTTGGTGGTGAGCTCCCTCCGATAACCCATCAATAAGACCGTCGCTGCCACACCGATTCTCTCACCTGCAGACAGAGGATAAAGATGACGCAATTGTTCCAAACCCAGTTCCTCCATGGCGGCTCTTTCCGAATACTAGCTGTCCTGTTGAAAAAAGTCCCAACCCGTCGGGCGAGAGGCGGTAACGATCATGCGGACGAGAGCTAAATAGTAAGCTAGAAGAATAAGGATCTCCTCGCGCAGGCTGTAACTTCCAAATACATGGGGGGACCATATTGCACTTAGCGGTTCAAATACGAGTACAAAGCGGGGGGCGAGTTGCGAATGCGATGTCATAGTCACTGCACCGAGTAACTCAAACCTTGTCCAACCATGAAGGTATTACGCGGAACACGTACGGTCAAAACTGCGGTCGTAGGGTTGGGAGTGATCGAAAAGCAAGCCGGGCACGGTCACGACAGAGTGTGCTGTGAAAAAGCCCAGCAATCCCACAGCACGAGACGGCGGCCATTCAATAATCGAACGAAAACTCAGCAATGTGAGAGGGCCACAGCCTACGGTCGCCTGAAACATGAGTTGAACGGCTGCAAGATTGATATGTACATATTCCATGCACGTAACTAACGCCAAATCCGCCTAGCTTGAAACGACCAAAATCGGTCAGGATACCGCATGAAGGCCGGCCGTTGTCGACCCCACAAACCAGGCCGACCGTCGAAAGAGGCATAAGGTCATCCTGACCCTGGAACAACAACACGTAAATGACGTCTGGACAACAAGGTGGAGCGACGGCTTCAGGGAGAACGACGCCCAACTTAGGCAAAAACTTGCCTGTACATGAAGCTGGCCGACTGGGCGACAAGGCAGAGGACTAGTTCAAGAGTAACGAGGTCAACCGCCTGCTCGGACGCCTCCCTAGCCTTTTCCCCTCGTGCGTTGTCCCGCGCGAGGCACCACACAATGTCTACCCAGTCCCTGTTGGCGTCCGACGCCTATCGGTGGTTGAAAGGAGAAGGGCTTCTTAGCCATTATTGTTGGTGTTGGTGCTCCAGTTTGTTTGTTTGGGGACATGCAGCAGCCAAGACAGAGCGTGGGCATAGAGTCACGATATTACCGCCGAACCTGTCCAATCAACCACATTGGGTAAGTGAGCTACTGCTGTCGTCTGGCGTATCGAAGGCGATCTACTTCACCAAGACAATGTCAAGACATTCCTTCCATACGTGGTGAGTCAGCGTCAGAGGTCGTTCACGGGATAGGTGCGGGGGGTGGAGCTCACGCACAACACTTCATAACGTCTTCTTGGCGGTCGCCGCTTCGTGATAGAGCCAGCTCAAGCCGTGCTGGAGGTGAAAGTACAATTCACAACAATATTAACTCCGCGTGAAAGGCCAAGGGCAACACACAAGGCTACCGTCGGCTCTATTGGTTTCGGGATAAACATTCTGGAGGCAAACCTGAACCGTACTTGGCGATGCTGGCGAGAACATAACCCACCAAAAACTCAGCACAACGAAGTGATTTGATTTTGTCATGCACTTCGCCTGCAGTTCATGAGTAAACTGCGGCTCTGACCGCGATGAATCACCTTGTCAATCAGGGCCGTCGCATCGACCAATTACTGGGTTTGTTTTTTGACGTGGGTGAGAGGTTCCCTATTCCACCAAGTTCTATGGCATCGACTATTTACTCTCTCAGCAACATGGGGGGGGGGTCCATATCTGTGTAGTTCGAATAGGGGGGTGATACCCACCATCATCTGTGCGTACCTCGCCGTTGCCACATGAGGAAACCAACTCGGCGTCGTTGGCTATGATGAACTGTGCGACGAGGACCACGTACAAGCCGACGCAGATGAAAACCGTTGGGAAAGTTCGAAGCAGGAGGTGAACCACCAGCCTCCCAGCGATCGGAACGACCTGTCCGAGTATTTTCAGAAAAAAAGACGAATCCGTAGAGATATTTGGGCAAGAAGGTTGCCGTAATGAGAGAAGGATGTTGACGTCGAGCACACCAATACCTGAACTGGATTACGGAGGATCCACAGAGATTGCAATTGTTCTTGATGAGGGGAAGTTCATGTACGCGAGACAAAGCATTTGTGTGTACAATGGAGGCTCCTCGCATCAAAGTGTGAGGTATTCTACGTCCCGCAGAGGAGATATTTTTCGTGCCCCCGATTACAACTCTTCCATGGAAAAGGCACGAGCATACGTTAAGAAGAAAATCCAAGCGCCGAGTTCACACGTAAGTGGGTTGAAAAATCCGGACAACACATTAAGGAGCGGAGGGATGGTACCCCCCCTAGACCGACGTTGAAAAGCTCCTTCTCCACAACGAAGGGGTGCGGGGAGAGCCCGATCATTCGACGGAAAGCCCTCGACGAGATATCTCCAATACCACCATTTTGGATATCGGCGCAATCTTGATCGTGAAGCAATCGGTCTAAGGGGGGGGTGCCATCCCCCCGTCTCTTACGGTAGTCCTGGTTGCGATGAGCCCTCCTTTGAGAAGCGAGGGATGGTCTCCGAAATTAGAATTAGCAAACAGCACCTCCGATTGCATACTCTGAACGTGATGGCATAAAGCACACTTCTAGATGGGATGCCATGTCACACGCAAGACACCCCAACTGTACTTGAACAAGATATCACCACACTCGCGAATTTCCCCCAACCCGGGGCGGTAGTATCGGCGAACACTTTTTATCACCTTGGGGTCATTCTTTTCTGGGGTCCGCTTCATCAGGGAACCGTCCGACGGAGAGGCCAGGAAGGACGTGGCCAGCAGAGGAGCCACCTGGATTTCAAGAATGTTCAAATGTTTGGCGCACGGCCATTTCATATATTGGTATCGTTTTAAGCATTGCATGGGTTTCCCTGCCGTTTCATCATTTCATGCATCGCTATATTTATTGGATGGACTTCACTGCCATTCCGTGCATGGTTCTCGCTCGAAATTGCTACTTTATCTGCCTGGACACGGTCCCGCGTGATAAGGTGAAAGCCGGCCACACACACGTCGCCGCTTACAGACTACGACCACTTGAACGGGAAGAGACGAAAGCATCACCGAGATAGCAAACCATCTGGATTGCTGTTAAAGTAATCAATACCATGAATACCGCCGAGGCAACAAGACTGATGGGTGAAATGCAACACATGGACTGTCGCCAGCGAATCGTTTGAGGAGGTCAGCAAGAAACGCAGTTCGAGACAAAAGTGAAGGGTTAAGGAGACGAGACCCTGAGACGAATCAAGGCAGTTCCGGTCGATCAACGAACCCAAAGGGTCACTGGCAAAACCTAAGGGTTCATGGATGGCAACCTACCTCGCCGAATGCAAGCACCAAGTTGGGATGGTGAAACAAATCGTTTCGGGATAGAAGCGATCGAACGCGGAAGAAAAACTCGTGTGGTTGATATTCATTACCATCATCCACGTGGCACCATTTATCGTACCTTGGAATAAGATCAAGGGAGGGCGACGGGTGAAACATGTGTGCCTAGGTGGTAATTAAAGGATCAGCAAATTACCGTATATGACACAAGACAATACACCTACAAAAGAAACCACACCCGCCACAGAATACGACACCCCGGTGATAATTTTGGGTGTGTCTGACAAATAATCGATGCATCAGGGGGAATACACAACATAACACACCCCGGTGGTAAATTAAGGATACGCGGCATATATTCTCGGGGCCCCTCCTTTTATCACCGGGGTGATAACATCTGCCCCTGGGCATCAAACACAACACAAACCCTCTGTGCGGGAAAACCTCCAATGGAGACCACTAACAACATGAACGTGCGGGAAGAAGAGCAGACTTCCGCCGCAAGTACCTCCGCTTCTTCCACAACTGCTGCGACCGTAGCAGCACAGGCGCAGCAAATCACGTCGTTCTTCAAAACCGAGCAAACTTCTACACAAGCGGCTCCTGCTACGGCTCCTACGCTCGCTGCTGTTGAAAATAAACAGCTGCTTGCCACAGCAACAAGCACCAACATGACAGCGACCGCCACCGCCTCGCCCAACCAGCAGCCAGTTGCTGACTCGCTCTCAGCAGCACGTACGAGTACCGTTGACGAGTCAACACGCACCGCCAAAGTCTCTCAGCTGGTGTTGTTGGACGTGGCGGACCAGCAGGAGCCCAGCACTTGCGCCGGCTTTTTGTCATATACCCTCATATATCACATCCCTAATCACACCCTGTGGGTGTTCGGACGTGCTATCACACACACCCCGGTTTATCACACCCCCTTAGGGGTCCCTATGAGCTGCACTTTATCACTACGTAAGATACCACACCCCCACCGGATACTCGGCAACCAGGTTACCGGGTTTTTTTTACCTCTTTTTTGGGGGGTAACCATAATGGTTGTCGAGTAGATCATGTTGTGCGGGGTCGAGAACCCTCGCTCCGCACAAGGGGGATGATCGCACCACGTTGTGTTGAAATGGTCAAGCATCCTCGAGGCAGTCACACAGTGCTAATAACTGTCTCTGGAAGTGAAAGCACCAGAAAACAAATTAAACCATACGCAGCTGTCATCCGTATGCAAGGAAGTAAGCACACAATGCGGAACACCCTTAGCAGGATGCAGCGCACCCTTCATACGACTCGCCGAATACCTCACGGCGCTTCGCGCAGGGTGATGTGAGAGCCTGGTCCGGTGAGAACCCGGCGTGCTCCGTCCTGGCTTTGTAGGGATGCGACGTCAATGGTCTAACGACTACGGCATGCACGACTGTGAGTACACCCCGGTGATAATAATCAAAAATCCAAAAACGTTATCACCGGGGTGTCTTACCTTGTGTCATATACCATAAACATGTAATGCGAACTTCTTCAAAAAATGAAGGCGGGGTGCCAACATCACCGAAACAAGGTATCAGTTGAAGGTGTTTGACAGGAAACCGTGGTCACTCATTGTCGTAAGCCCCTTTCTCACTTGCTAGTATTGTACAACCTACGAACTACGCCATTAAACGTGAAAAAACCTCCAACAGGAAACTTGAACCGACAAAATTACTCCAGAGACAGCAGCAGCACCACCATCAGCAGTAGCAACAGCCACCAACATCGAAAAGCAACAACGACGTTAACAATATCCTCACCAGCCACAGGCTCCAAATGAGATGCCCCCCACGAAGGACCATGGGCTCCGAGATAGGGACAGCCGCCGCGACAAGCACGAGTAGAGCGACGGCAAACGAGCCTAGGAGCAAAAACGACAGAGCCTGCCAAGCAACGAGAGGGGATTGGCAATATCAGGACTACAACGAATTGGCCAAGAGAGACGGGTCGACGCGTGCCGCCGCGAGCACAGCGGTGGCGGGAGAGCGCCCATGATAAACTAAAGAAATGTTGCATAATGCTCTCTCTCTCGCGCGCGCGCCACCTAGCGGTTAAGCTTCGTCCTACCACCTTCGTGTTGATGTCTTACGCCAGTCTGTAACACGCACAAAGCTGCGGGGTTCTGAGAGCCAGATTGACGCAGGGCCCACTGACCAATATCTTCAAGGCTAGGGGGATACACAGAGGGGGGGTGTATTCATAGTCGTGCATGCCGTAGTCGTTAGAACATTGACCTCGCATCCCNCCGTGAGATATTCGGCGCGTCGCATGAAGGGTGCGCTGCATCTTGCTAAGGGTGTTCGGCCTCTTGTGCTTACTTCCTTGCGTACGGATGACAGCTGCCCATGACTTAATTTGTTTTCTGGTGCTTTCACTTCCTGAGACAGTTGTAAGCACTGTGTAACTGCCTCGAGGGTGCTTGACCATTTTAACACAACGTGGTGCGGTCATCCCCCTTGCGCGGAGTGAGGGTTCTCCACCCCGCACAACATGATTTACTCGACCACCATTATGGTTACCGCCGAAAAAAAAACAGAGGTAAAAAAACCCCGGTAACCTGGTTGCCGAGCTCACGAAGTGAATTGGCTTGTTTTACAACGTCTTTGCCAAGCGACGAAAACCCAATCCCGATGGCAAACACCGATGGGAGGGCTTGTTTTACAACGTCGTTGCCAAGCGACGAAAACCCAACCCCGATGGCAAACACCGGGGAGGGCGGCCTGTTTTACAACGTCGTTGCCAAGCGACGAAAACCCAACCCCGATGGCAAACACCGGGGGGGGCGGCTTGTTTTACAACGTCGTTGCCAAGCGACGAAAACCCAACCCCGATGGCAAACACCGGGGGGGGCGGCTTGTTTTACAACGTCGTTGCCAAGCGACGAAAACCCAACCCCGATGGCAAACACCGGGGGGGGCGGCTTGTTTTACAACGTCGTTGCCAAGCGACGAAAACCCAACCCCGATGGCAAACACCGGGGGGGGCGGCTTGTTTTACAACGTCGTTGCCAAGCGACGAAAACCCAACCCCGATGGCAAACACCGGGGGGGGCGGCTTGTTTTACAACGTCGTTGCCAAGCGACGAAAACCCAACCCCGATGGCAAACACCGGGGGGGGCGGCTTGTTTTACAACGTCGTTGCCAAGCGACGAAAACCCAACCCCGATGGCAAACACCGGGGGGGGCGGCTTGTTTTACAACGTCGTTGCCAAGCGACGAAAACCCAACCCCGATGGCAAACACCGGGAGGGGCGGGTCACCGGGGGGGGGGGCGAGAATAAACAGGTCGAAAGGCACACTGTAAGTGAAAAAGCTAGTTGCGTCTAGATAAGCTGTACGTACCTGCGTCGGTGATTTTAGGTCGGGCGAAGAAGGTGAGACCGACACGAGGCGCGGCTATTTCTCAACTTTCGAAAATCCCAGTCTAGCGAGCAGTTGCGAAGGACTACAACTATCCGTCGAAAGGGTAGAAACGAACGCTTCGCCGAAACACAATCTACGACCTTTGAAGAGAAAAAAACACACACGCACATGGCGCGCGAACGACGGCAAGGTTCGACAAATGTAGGGCCTGACCTGGTACGTGTTGGTTAGCAGGCATCTCCCCTCACGAATGAGATCGATGATGATACTCCCCACATCGTCCAGGCCGACGATAGCACCCCCTCTGCGCATCTGTGAGCAAAGGACAGCAAGCGCGGACACTGCGGCGTTACGAAGAAAACACTCCTGAAGGTACGTGTGCGGCGTTAGCACGACACGAGATCGCCTCTCGCTGATTCGGACCGAATCCGAAGAAAAGGGGGCACTGTATGTTTAGGCCTGGTCTGAATTTTGACGTGAGAACAAAATCCACGACCACAAGACACCATGGTAATCGACAACAGCCCTCATGCCTGCCCATGCCTCAGAGCACCGCAACACGTCGTAAGGAACCTTACCCATTTCTCCCCAAGTCTTGTTTCACTATTCTCTCAAGGCGCTGAACCTTTCTACCTACGCGAAGGCCGGTATAGCGTGTGGTGACTGGGATCGTGCGGGAAAAACTCGCTCGAGAAATAATTCGTACATCAGCGTTGGTTAAACTAGCGATGAGCATCTACGACGGGAGAGTTTGAGACAGATCTCCGCATTGCACCCAGCCGCCCAATCCCTACGTAGCTAACGGGTGAGCGCCTCGTGCTGCCCTGAGCGCAGCAGCTATCGAATAGATCATGGATGAAACGAAATCATGGAAAAAACTTCAGGCGTTACTGACTCCCACCGAAACCGAAGCTCTCAACAGCATACCACGTCGCCCAGGGGTAGGGCAGTGTGAAGCCCCACGATTGAGCTGTTGAAAGCGGAATCGATCGCAGAGAAACGGGACGAGCTCGCAACCGGGAGGCTCGAGAGAGGCTGGTTCAGCGGGAGGCTCTCCACCGAGAAGGATAGGTCCGCCGCCCGGAATAGATCCGCGTTCACGGCCCTGCAAAAAAAGTCGCGGCGGGATTGGTGGAATTTCGCCGCATGGCGAGGAACTCGGAAGCACAGCAGGAGCACCCACGTCGGGCGAAGGCGACAAACGTGGTTCGAGAGAGGCCCAAACCTTTTGGACTTCGTGTGAGGGGGACACTTAGGCATGTTCAGGGGGTGGGGATTCAATCCGCCACGCAATCGACTCTTTCATGGATATTTCTGGCGGCCAACCTACCTGGGTGTTAAGCATGGACGAAACAATGTTTGACGGAGCCGTGAGAAGAAAACAATGCCAGCAAATGCGCCACAGAACACTCTCACTCTCCGGTTTCTCTATTTTCCCAACTGCTCGTTGCTTATGTTCACCTGCTCTTTGTCGGTATGCGCTACTCTCTCCAGCACCCTAGAATCTTCTGTGAACACAATATTTGGAAACAAGAGGGGCAGTATTCAACTCCTTTCGTTCGAGGCCGTGCAACGTAAAAAACCACCATGGTAATGCCAGTAGCTGCTTCTCAATATCGTACTCTGTTGCAACCGAGAGAAGATCAACCACGATGGCAGCAAAATTCCCACGCCATGTAGCAATGTCCAGGACGAGCCGAGCATCGCATCCCCGCGCGCGAGGCGAACGTCGTCATCGTCACCCCTTCTACCGAACAAACAATACACACATCTTCGTCCAACACGAAACCGGCTTCCGCTCGGGAGCTGCGAGAATGCTGCTCGCTGACGATGGAGCATTTTCTTCCGTTGGACAGTCCGCCAGCCCTGCGGGCGCAAACTAACTGAAGACACATCCCTGAGACATCTTCACTTCATACACACTCTTGGAATATCCCCACACCTTCCACATCCTGGAGGTGTCCCCGCTTCTCAGCGGTCACCCGTACGTAAACGCCGTTGTCGCCAAATGCAGAACACACCCACGTACCTGTGCGACATGCCAACAGCCAGCGTGCACTCATCATTCTCTTGGTAAATGGCGAGCATGTCCTTGATCGTCTCTGGCGTGGCGTCAGTGAAGAGCGAGACCAGGAGCGGCACATTGTCTACGGACTCGATGTGGTCTCGGATGTCGGCGATGCCGTGCGGGAGACGAGCCTGCCACAGGGTGTCAAGGCAATTGAGGGAAGGAAATGAGACCACAACACCTAGGGCGAGAGATGTGTACAACACTGAAAAAAGGGAAAGAAGCAAAACATTCTGTTGACCACCTTTCAAAAAAGTCGCCTCCGCAATGTAATTGCCCCCAGGATAAGCTAATACTCGGGACTGGGATAGCGCTAGACTTCGGGCTAGTTCAGGGGCACAGGATCGGGGTGAAAGGTAGGGTCGGGAACGAAGACAACCGCAGCAGCAGGCGCCGTGCAACTCGCACCAACCACGAAACTTTCCTTATTCGACACCCCTATTGGCAAGGCCACGGCCACAGAGACCTACGGTACTATACAGGGCTAGTGCAAAGGAGAAGAATGCTAGAAGCGCCGCTGCCGCTGCCGCGGCTGGTGCTGCGATTGCTGCAGCAGGTAGCCCATTGTCGGTGTGTTCAACCTTGACGTCCCAGTCTGCATACGACGACTTCATCCTGTGAGGGTCCGGCTGCGAAGAGTCCTCCAGCGGGCGAAGCGAAATCGCACAGTTCCAGTCGGTCTCGATCCCCATGCTCTCGGCAAGGGCCTGCGAAACAGTCGCAAAACAGTTGGATGTGCCTCTGTTGCTGGTCTCACAAATTGTTGGATTCAAAGGTTCAAGAAAGACTTCCCGTTTCTAGCCAATCTCAATCGCATGTTATCGACAACCACCTTGAAAGCGAAAAAAAAAAAAGTCCATCACACATTAGGTGTCGGCGTGAGCAAGAAACCTCCTGCCCAAAAAAATGGTCAGATCTTACACACGGTCATCTTGCAAGATTCAACATGATATGTCTCGTGTGGCGTTCTGGCATACGAAGAGCCCCACTCCCCGACGAAAAATGTGATACTTGCACACATTTCCGTGTTCATCTTCGTCGCCCAAAGAATGGGAGGAGTGCTCATGGTGCCAAGGAAAATATGCCAATTTTTTCGCACGTTTGGTCATGCTGTTGTTAGTATGCCGCTAATGAAACAATACAATCGTACGCACAAGATTTATTGCCTCGTAGTCTGGAACAACAAAACCGAAAACACCATTCCCTTGTACACCACCGTCTTGAAAGGAGGAGAAATTGACAAAAGACCGATGGACAAGTCGAACGCAATAGGCCGACTGTAGGAAGAAAGTGTTGCACTCTTCTCGCGTACAACGAACCGCACGAGGGGTGGGTAGGGGTGCCTCAGGGAGAGGGACGGGACCCTTCTGTGTGACCACGGGTTAGAGTGCACGGCACGAATGCTGTAAGCGCTGATTTGAAGTTGCGACAAAACACAAGAGCGTAAACGCACACACGCCGTATCAATGTGGGAACGAATTTTCCACGGCGGAACACACCTTGCTGCGTCTCATGTTGCGAGGGGAGAAGTACACGAACCGCACTCCTGCCGCCTCCACATCTTCGATTAGCGCCACGATGTCACGCTTCGGGGGCACGAAAGATGCCGCCATTCCTAGAAAGACCTAGCGAAGAACGAAGTGCATCAATCGTGGTTGCCTCGTCCATCGACCATCGAATTGGCATGATTTGCGGAAGAAATTGATTTCGGAATACCCTCCCCGTTCGTATTACCCTGCAGGTAGGAGTGACGGAAGTGTTCAGCAGCTTGTGCACGCCATCATATCCGGGAATAGAAAACGAAACAATCCCGGTATTCACCACCCGATAGTAGGTATTTCGGGAGCACACGCTTCGCAAGCGTTTCACATGAGGGAGAGGAAATGACATCTACGCCATGACCATCTAGGCAATCGGGATTATTACACATAAAGGCGTGCACCAATACAGAGAAGAGAGGGAAAAAGGAGACACTCATTTATGTGAGACACCCTTGCTCGGTGTTCACGCACCCACGGCCTTGGCACACCTGGCCGCCCGAGTGAGATTCCGGCGCACTTGCAATGCGGTGCCGGCGAGATTCCGTACTTGCAGTACGACGACTCTTGAGCACTGAATGCAGAAAAAAAAATCGTGTGTCTCTTACCCACCCTCGCTGAAAACTTGGCCCTGGCGCGGAACCGCCGAAAGCACCTTAATGGCTCATCTCGCGATGAGTGAAAAATATCACACGAGACATAGAGTACGCACGTCGTTGTGTTCGCGCATCGACAGGGCTGGTCTCATCATTGCTTCTTTCTAGGAACATTGCTACACTTCAGAAATCCTCCACGTGACGAGATCGACCAACCTGGTCATGGACGAGGTTCCACAAGGCTTCCGCCATCTTCTTGTCTCCAGGGGCGGGAACAACCGGGACCTATCGTGCAATCGGCCCGTCCCACAGTAGTAGACGGTACGGGTTCGAAGCGACCAATGGGACGGGTTTGGATTGGTTACGGAACTGTATGAGATGATTCAGGAGCAGCAGCAGACGGACGGGGAATGAAACCGAACACGGACGTACCCGACGCAGCTATGGCAGGACCAAGGAAGGGAGAAAAAACATCCATCGAATCGGCGACGGTCTAACGCTGTGTCATCAAGCTCTAGATTGCGGATAGTCCACGACAGCACTGACGTTTGACGTGTGCAGCTCTTCCCGGTGAGCGATGTTGACCCCGTAGTCGTCCATGCTGTAGAGCTTCTTCCTCCTCGGAAGCCCTCCCCTCTTGGACCCCCCCCCCCCACCGTC